ATAACATATATCTTTTTGTTTTCTCTTCTTTAAATACCTGCACCGGATCTTTATTATGATTTTTTTTGGACCAATCTTAAAAAAAAACTACTAGGCATTAAGAAGAAAGTCTCAATCATTTCAAATGGGGCTCTTCGGGGAATTTATTTTTAGCAAAAATTTAAAAGCCAGTAATTTTTTTACTTGTCGGTACCTACGTCTCCCTTCTTTGCTATTTGAACGTCTGGCTATAAACAGAATCGATGCTCAAATAATTAAAAACCTATAGGTCTGATCTTTAATTAGGTAAGAATTACGTAACTATGTGAGACCCGCATCATTCGTGATTCCAATAATTCAAATGCTTATTAAAAACGGGGTGCTTTTTTAAAAAATAACAATATTCTGATCGGATTCTGCTGGCAGCCACGACTTTGAATTTTGTTCAAAATTTTCATTCCTGGAAAATAATAATTTATTTTCTATATCCACATATTTAGCTCGCTATAATCACAAATTTTTCAAACCAGTCGCAAAAGAAAGTATCAAATATGAATTACAAAAACTAAAACCGAAAAACGCTGATGAAGTTACAGATTCCCCAAATTCTGAAACAGCCAAAGGAATGAGAATGAATTCTTTTTATTCAAATTCTGAAAGGGCCAAAGGCATGAGAATAAAGAATTGTTTTTAAAAAGCTTTAGAAAAACCTGACACATCTGGTTTGGCTTGTAAGCGCTGTTAAAACAACGATAAATTCTTCATGTGAAGATGAAAGTCAGGAGGATACATCTGACATTTTCAGCCCCGATGCAATTCTCATTACTTTTTATTAAATATAGGAAATGTTCCAATTTTTAAGTTCAATTACTAAATAAAATAAGCATTATTAAATATTACTAACTTTCCAATCTTTTTATTTACCTAAATAATTTAATTTACTTACCTAATAGTTTCTTAAAAATACTATACATCCGAATTCGCATCCGCATCCGCGGATGCCTAACAACTAACATCGAATCGCAACATCCCTAGTATACATATACATATGTGTATTTTCAGCCAAAATAAAATCGTAAACTAGTACTGTTTAACTTATTTGCTTTATAAAGTTCTTACGAATTCAAAGGTACAAACGATGAATCTGCAGAAACGGTTTTTGAAGACATTAATGCGGAAATACAGATTTATTTGAAACAATCAGGAAACAAAAGTTGTGACGATGTTTTAAAATTTTGGGAGCAAGCTTAAGATTTTTCACTTCTTGGAAGCTTTTCAAGGCAAATTTTATAAATAGCTAGCTCAGCAACTATTGAAAGAGCTTTTTCTGTGTCAGGCAGAATTTTGGAAGAAAGACGTACACGGCTGCTTGGTGATAACCTCGGCAAAATATGACTCTTAAACAAAAATATGAGCTAGTCATTTAAAACTTACATTGAATGAATACCCAGCCAGCAAAGAAACGTAAATTTTGCCGACAGTGCTTACAAAAAACTCCTACAGTTATCAATTATTTTCGTTTCCGAAAACGTTCGAAAAAGATGTCATTTGAATGCAATAATTGTATTTTATTTGCTCAAGCTAAATATTTGAAAGCATGCATGCGTAGTCGACAGTGGCTGAGTGTGCCGCTATTTGTTAGCTTCCAGAAGGTGCCGGGTTCGAATTCCGTCCGGCGCTTCCTAATTTTATTTTTTTTGAACCATGAAAAAGTATCTGTGAATTGCAGAAGGAAAGCGTATTGAACGAAAAATTCAATCAGCCGAAAAAGATTGCACCCAGAAAAAAATCAGCTAAATATATTTATCTCTACACTTGATTTGGTTATAGTTACATTATTTCGTTATATTGATGATTAATTTGGTATACTAATTTGTATTGGAAACGCTACGTTTTATATCATATTTTGTTTAAATATGTGGTTAAAATTTCAGAAAACAATTTTTATATAGAGAATTTTATCTCATTTAAAAACATATAATTATGTATATGTATATGGTCTTTCAAACGTTGGTACTTTTTCGGCTAATTTCGTGAATTTCTTTAGCCATTTCCTATAAAATTATAAAACTCATTTATCATCCCTGGTCCATATGGGCTAACGCCTTCCCGTATCAGTAAGTCAGTAAGACGGTGTGTACATACATACATATGTACGAGGGTTGTTCCTAAAGTTCTGGGAATCGTGCTATAATTAAATTACGCAGAACTTATAGGCAATGTTATTGTTGCCAGACAAGTTTTGTTATGTTTATTACATATGCATATCTGGTGCAATATTGATCAGTCTGAGTTAGGTGTTCGACTGATATAGATGCGTTTTCATAGCACTGTTTTTGTATCCATGGAAGACGCAGCTAGTTCTCAAAGAGCAATAGTTTTCCTTTTGTGGAAAGAAGGTGTGAAAACATCAGAAATTATTCAGCGGAGCACTGCAACAGGCACTTGTCGAAAAACAGCCTGGGCATTTGCAACCGTTATTGCAACAGGATAATGCAAGACACCACACACCGCAAAAAAAACGAAGGATGTTTTGAACGATTTACGATAGGAATTTGTTTCCGCGCCCACTTTATGCCCAGATCTTGCACCCATTGTTTATCATTTGTTCCCAGATTTGTAAAAACTCTTACGGGGTGTTCGATTTGAAAGTTTAACTAACGCAAAACGTGCCATGAATAGGTGGATTGAAAAAGTTCTTTGAGGACAGCTTAATTAGTTTATTGTTGGGATAAAGGTATTGAGTTAAATGGAAATTATGCTGACAAATTATACTGTAATATTGACGAAAATTAACAAGATAATAAAAATTATAGCTAAATTCCCTGAACTTTGGAAACATGCCTCGTTAATACAAATAACTGCCCAACAATGTGACAATTTAACAATTGTATTTTTTCGTTGGACCAATAATGTAAACAAATGATAATAATTATAGTCATTAAATAAATTCATCGAGAAATAGGTGTTTCTATATCAAAACCGATAAATAAATTTAAAAATGTTTGGATGAATGCGAAATAATATGCAAACACAAAAAGCTCTTTTTCTGACAAAATTTAAAAAGCATTATAAGCACACTCTCATTCCTTTTTTGGTTACTATACTGCCTAAAAATATCTTAGTTCGTTCTCTGTGACCCAAAGTTTACTTTTAAAAGCTTTAAATTTTTAATCAATGTTCATGCTTACAGGTATTGGCTTTCCGGTTGGATCCAATGGTCGATGAAATGCTGATCCCCCTTGTGCTAGCAAATGGTATGGATGACCGCCGGTATAAAGTGGAAAGTCTTGCGGTCTTATGGGACTGTGCGGTGGAATAGGCTTTTTGAATTCATCATGAAAATCCATTGAAATACCAATATGATGTTGATCCTCACAACCAGGGCTAATGGGCGGACTAGATCGATGTGAAGATGTTGGAGATTCTGATCTGGAATATAATATTGTGAAGAGGAAAGCTTTGAGTAATTAAAAAAGAAAAATTATGAATGTTGTTGTATAACGAATATTTGAATCATGTATACCTATGTATATGTATATTTGTGGAAATTTGAAAGAACTATTCAAAACACTAAATCGTACTAAGTGATAATAGCTGCAATTTAAGATGTTAGTCTTTGTTAGCAGTGTTGGCGGGACGTCATGAAAAAATGTATCGTAAATGAAACAAAAAGTGGATCAAATGTATCACAAAATATTTATTTAAGTATCAAAGTATCCAGTTAGATAAAACTTAAAAAAATGCTATTTGGCTCCATACCTTTGCTTTTTATTATTGTCAATAATCGAAAAGTCATGTAATTCGCATTCATACACCTACATATGTATTTACATGAAGCAAAATATTTTACATACTGTGACAATCTATCAAAAAAGAGATTATTATTTTTAATGTTTTATAGAGACGAAAAAAAGTATTATGTATAGATTTTATAGAAACTTGAATTCAAATATATGTACATACTTAAAACTATGAGCTGTCGATCATTTACGTTAATTATCAAATTTCACATAATTCACATTCTACGTTAAACTCGTTGGAAATTATGTCAAAAAGCTGCGACTGCCTTCAGTGTCGACTTTATTTTACTATGAATACGCCCCATCATCAACAGTTTGTAATGAAATTCCATTTCTCTTTTCATATTGGATCAATTTTATATCTGAAAATATACGCTCTGCAGCTGCAGAGCTATTTATGGAGCAAGTAAAGTAAATTAAGAATTAATGAAGTGAGCTCTTTATACATGGTTCATTTAAAGCATTTTTTAAGCTTACTGACCCCAAAACGCTTCAATATCTTCGAACAAATTTTATAAGCTGCCACTGCATATTAATATTTTCTCTTTAACATGCATCAAAATTTGTACTACGCGAAAAATTCAAGTATCTCGCGAAATGAGCGAAAAAATAAAGTATCTGCCGAAAATATGCCCAAACACGTATCACTTTTGAAGTATATGGATCAAAACGGCAACACTGTTTGTTAGTAGGCTCTTTATTTCTTTTTAAGCCAGCCAAGTTTTATTTAAGCGTCCACAGATATAAGCTTTAGGGTTGTTTGAAACTTTCACTACATTTTTTTAAATCTATGTGCTGTGTTTTTAGGCCAATTTAAAGCTCTAGGCGACAGAACGCACACTGGTCGGAAGAGGCGGTTTCTTGCTTCAAATTCAAATTCATTAGAGATTGAATCCGGGAACCCACATTTCCTAGGCAAACTGCTACTGCAACAGACCTGTAATTTACGGTTCATAGATATGTGTGTACGTAGGCATTGCTTTAAATTAAATTAATTACGGTTCATATGTATGTGTGTGTGTTGAAAAAGAAAATAAATAAAATGTCAGTTTCATACAATACAAATTCAGGCGCCCACCACAAATCGGAGGAGAAGCTCGGTCAAACACTAACATATTGTGTAAACGCCAATTAAAAAAATATAAATCCATTATCATGGATTGCCATAGATTTTGATTTAACAAAAAAAAATTATTTCTAAATCGTTTTTTTTTTAGTTTATATGTATTGGCTGTCCTAACCCAGCGATATACAATCATCAAAATTGGTTCACAAGCAAAGAAACTATGCCCTGACATACATACTTACATATATCTATATGTATACATTAGAGTGGTTGTAAAAAATCAAATTTCAATTTTTACAGGTGCACACCTTTAGAAATGTGTTATTTATTGAAAAAATACAATTTTAAAAGTTTGAGCCGGATCGGAGCATGCCTTCACATGCCGAAAGTGCCGTGAAGTTTTAAAAAATTACAAATTTAAAGAAAATATGATATTTTTCTGCTTTAGCTTACGACAGATTCTATCTAAAGTAGAGTCCGACCGAAGGTAAATTTTTCGGCCGAAGCCGAACCGAACGTTCGGTTTTAATCAGGGATCCAACCGATTATGACGATCTCCGCAACGATGGATTGGACGCTTGGGTTCCATTTTATGGCCACCTAGATCCCCGGATTTAAATCCTTTAGACTTTTT